AAAGGACAGGTTTGTGGGGGGTGGGGGTAAAGGTGGGAGAAGGGGCGGGGAGTGGTGCCACCCCTCAGAGCCACTTCTGTGTGAAAAGATGTTTTTCTTTTTTTTTTTTTCCTTTTCCATTAACTGAGAATTTTTTTTTCTTTTTCTTGGAGTTTGTTATTTTCTCCTCTTCTAGCGCTCTCAGGCCTCTTGTTGTTTACTCCACCTCCTCTCCTTCCTCTCCTTGGTCACCGTCCATTAGCAAAGCAGCGTATTTGCTGGCTGAGCTGAACTTCTAAAAAATGCAAAGACAAGAACAAACGAGGAGAAATCACTGAAGCATGTTTGTATAAAAATGATTTAAAAATAAAAACAATGTTCTATTAGTATAAACTGATTTTAAGAAAAGTTATTCACGGTCTGTTTCTTCTTCGCACAAAGGAACAGAAGTTAATTAAAATATTATATAAAACAGACACCAGTAAAACAAAAACTGCAGAAGTTTAAACAGACTGTTGTTCAGTGGAAGACTTACAGGGGTCGGGGTTTCTTCGTATTTCTTTGGCTCTGGAGGTGGTCTGGCATCTCGGTCTTTTTTAATGTCCTTTCTACAAGTAGAGTGAACATAAGAAGCTGAAAGTTAAACATTCTTGTGAATCCTCAACGCTCACATGAATTATGGCACAAAATAAAGTCCAGGGGCCTCATGTACAAAGACTTGTGTGGATTTCTTACTGAAACCTGACGTACGGTCTAATCCAGAAAACGGCGTACGCACATAAAAATTCAGATGTGTCAAACTGTGTGTACTCCTGAATCCACGCACATTTCTTTGTACATCACAATTAACGTGGAACTGAGCGCAGGTGTGACACCTCCCCTGACACGCCTTCATTAACATACTGTATGTTAAACAGATGCAAATTACTTCCTGCATGTGTGATGGACAGGTTTGTTTGATCCCTGCGCCATCAGAAATGATTTCTAATGTCAGGAAAATAATGAATTTAATATAAAGTGAGTGAGAAAAAAATCTTAAGAAATATATAATACAAAATATGTTTATCACGCAAAGAACGAGTAATTGTGTGTGTGTGTGTGTGTGTGTGTGTACGCTGCTGTGGTGCGCAGCCGGCTCATCCATCCATTCCGAGTCTGAAAATAACTGTTAATTAATTAATAGTTAACTTTGCGCACGAGTTTATTACAATAATTACTGTAAACAAAGAGGAACTTAAATGTTTGGTAGAACATAGATCCTAGTTTATTTCATGGCTGATATTAAGAAACGAGTCTTTGTGCCTCAGTAGAGTTCACATGACGTGACGTGATGTTGGAGAGTCCACACAAACGCTGCGTGCCGCAGCCTTTGTGCGCAGTCTGTTTGTCAAGCTTTTGCTCTCCTACTTACACCATTTTCACAAGTTGTAAAGTGTACTTCCACGTGTCATTTTGGAAAAATCTGCAACAACTAAATGCCAAGTATGAAACACCMCCACTGCCGGCGAGGGTGCYRYCTCCAGAGCGCGACCATAACTCAGCCTTTAGAATCATATYGATGAGATGATTCCATTGGGCATGACTCTGCTTTGGGTGGACTGGACTGACACAGTCCTGATTGGTCTGCCAGCTCCTGTGGAACCCCAGTTTGATCGCTGCTGCTGCTGCTGCATGTGCACGCGTGGCGCARGTCACCTCGCTGTGTCGCACTCTGGAGCGCTGCAGTGCCAAACTAAAAAAGTTTATTCCTGAAAACGGCTGATGAGCCACTCGTCATCGTGGATCACAAAATTCTGTTTATAAATAAATGCTCTGCGTGTTTCACTATTTGTTATATCCTTTAGTAGGACTGAATCTGTTCCTGTTAAATGTATTTTTGGCATAACTTTGCGTGTTCTTTATCTAACTGCATCCATGTGGATGTAATAATTGTTAATCATGTGTGTCTGGTATGAACAATAATCTTTTTTACATCATAAACAGTTTACCAAAATCACCTCTAAGTGTTGCCAATGGAACCAGAACCACAGAAACGTGCGTACACCAGCACTGAGTTGGCTTGGGGCTGCGCACATTTCCACGTTCAGTTGAGTTTTGATACATCTGGAGTTCTGCGTGGGAAAATGGCGTACGCAAGGTTTTTGTGCGTACGCACTGTTGATACATGAGGCCCCTGCTTTTTTTCTTATGAGAATTAACACACTGAAACTAGTTGGCACTTCCATCCCACTGTTAGAGCAGTATGACTTCTCTGATACTAGTTACTGGGTTTAATTAAGATCTGGTGTATGAAGTATTAGTGTGCACACCAGCCATCAATACATCTGCACGAAAAACAACAAGTAATTCTAGAAATGTCCCCTTTGTTGCATTAATACCCTATTTTTAAAATAGCTATACCTATCTGCCTCCTTTTTTCGTTCTTTGCTGGACACCTCTCCTCGGCCCCGGCCAGCCCCTGGACCAGCAGGCGCCCCTCGTGTTCGTGGGGCCCCTCGATCGCGCCGCGCACCGTCGGCCTTGTTCTCATCTTAAAGGAGAAGAAAGAAGGTTGTGTGAAGTGAGGCTGTTGGCCTTTGAACAATAAGCAACAGTTCACCACATGCTTGTCCCTGATGCTGGAATGAATGAGGGGAGCAGCTGTGTGATTACAGGCTGAGTTATGAGCAACACAATTACAACATTACAGATGTGAAGCAGGTTTGAAAAACAAGTCAGTGACTAATTAGAGTTTGTTCTGATCAGCACGACAGTGCAGGAATATTGCTGACTGCAGATTTTAGCTTGATAGTTCGCTTGGGAATGCCAAAAACCATCGATGTCACAGTTTTGACTTTATATTAAAGGAAAATGAGCTGTAGTCTGTTTCTGTTTTTATTACAGGCTGTTACCAGGTTGTCATTATTAAGCTGATAAACTATGATTTTATTTCATATGTTTGACAGAAGTCAGCATTAAACAATATGAGTATTACTGCCACATCAGTTACATTACTTTGATAAAAAAAACCTAAATATCAGTCACACTTGATCAGTTCACCTGTCAACACTTATCTACAGGTAGAGTCATTACAGACTGCACCACAGAAGTTGGAAAATGTGTGAGGATGCAGATTTATGATTTTCTTTTGCATAGGGGAACAATGGCTGAGTTAAAAAAACACACATTTGCAAATGCACAGCAGAGCCTGAATAAAACTTGTGCACACTGTGAACATATACAGAACTTACCCTTTCCAGATCCTCTTTCATCTGAAGAACTTGGGGAACTAAAGGAGGAAAATAAAAGTTGGGAGTAATGTATACCAAGTTTAAAAAGAGCTCAGAGAGTCAGAAGAGTCCTGCAGCAGCTGTGCTCTCACCTGAACTTAGGAGGACCCGAACCACTGGGAGACACTGGAGACACCGGATGTCGTACGTCTCCCTCGCTGGAGCCTGTGCTGACTGCACTTCTTTTGGCCCAGGCGTTCTCCTTAGGAGGAGGGGCGGGCATCACTTTGAGCGGCTCCTTTGAGGAGCTGGTGGAGGAGGGCCGCGGGGAGGAACCAGGGGAAGAGTTCCCTTCTCTCCCAGAGAAAACCTCGTTCTCTCCACAGCGCTCGCCATCTCGACATCTTGATCCTGGTGAGTGAGAGTCGTTTAGATCAACACTGGAAATGATAAAAACTTGAGTGTTTCTTCAAAAAGAAGCTGAAATATCTAAACGTACACGGGGTCTAACTGATAACTTTTAATGTAGAAACAAGTTTAGCTTGAAGCGGTTTTCAGACTACATGCAAACCAATAAAAACTTTTGCCTTGTGAGGATTCACTTCCRGTGCGGGTTCGTTCAGTGTGAGTTTCCTCATTGCGCCAGCTAGGATCCCTGAAAAAAAAGAAAAATTATTTCTCCTTTCTTGAATTAGTTTTAAGTGCATTATTATAATAATCAACCTATTTTTCTATCAGGGCAAGAACAACTAGATGTTTTTGGTCACCCCTTTACCTGTCTCTCATCTTTCTGTCGGGGCCTCGAGTTTTGTCCTCCTCCAGCTGCCTTTGCAGCCGCTCTTCTTCTTTCTTCAGCCTCTCCTCCACCTCCCTCTCCTTGGCTGCCGTGTCAACTGGTTTTGCGGCCCCAAAAATGGAGGAGGCCCTGCTGCCGGAGCTGGGAGCCACAGATGGAGACGTGCCCCCGCTGCTGCCCGTACCATCCTCCTCCTTTGGTACGCTGCGAGGCTTCAGGTTTAACTTGGGTCTTTGTTGAGGAGCTTTAAAGAAAAGACATCAAATCATGATATGAAGCCACCAGACTGTGGGATAGTAAATTCATGCAACTCTTTGTTTACACTGAAATAAGTCTCACCTCTATCCTCACGTCTCTCATCTCGTCTATCGTATCGGTCATCCCGGTCGCCATAGCGGTCCCTATCGCCATAGCGATCATTGCTACCCCGACTGTCATCATCTCGACGGAAGCTACTGCCAAAAGCACGACCTCCTCCTCCACGAGAGTCGTAGCCTAAAAACACAGCACGAGTGGGTTAGAAAAAGAGAAACTAGGGGATGTTATGTTCAATCAGTTTGAGTAACGAGGCAGTTCAAAGTGCTTTACAACATAAAAACACACGAAAAAATACAGTCATACAACACACAGTTAACAACTGAAGCATTACAGTTTGTCAGGTGCTATTGTCACACATCAAAATGTTGATTAATGTTTCATTTATTATGTTTCATAAGTAACTCTAAACAGGTTTGTTTCAGTCTTGATTTAAAGGAACTCATTGTTTCGGCTGTTTTACAATTTTCTGAGAGTTTGTTCCAGATCTGCGGTGCACAGAAGCTGAACTCTGCTTCTCCATGTTTGGTTCTGGTTTTGGGGATGCAGAGCTTACCAGAACCAGAAGACCTGAGAGGTCTGGAAMGTTGATACAACAACAGCATATCTTTAATGTATTGTGGTGCTAAGSCATTAAGTGATTTATAAACTAATAACAGATATTAAATTCGTAAAATGTTGTAAAATAATCAGAGCTGCAGCTGAGAGAGCAGGAGGCCATGAAAAGAAGTCGGCTTCGAATGGGAATATTAAGAAATTCCGACCTGGTAACCAGACAGAAGCCCAATAAAGTGCTACAAAATACACAACAACTCACCTCTGCGGTCTCTGTCATCATAGCCGTCCCGGCGGTCCCTATTGTCGTAGCGATCCCGGTAGCGGTCTCTTCCTCCATCGTAGCGATCGTTATCCCGTCGTGGAGCATCTCTGTAACGATCGGACTCGTACCGGTCCCGTGATCCTGCAACAGGTCAAGAATTTTAAATTCACCTACATATGATCTTTTTTTTCAAAACCTGGTACATTTGATTGCTTTTAACCTGTATTTATTATAGTCCAACAAATACAGTTATTACATGTAAAAACATATTAATTAAAAAAAAACGTACTTTCTCCAAAAGGATCATCCCTCCGTGGAGGTCCATCATCAGCGTCTGAGCTTGGACGAGCTCTCCAGTCACTGTCTGTCTTGTCAGGACCCATATCTCCCATCCGTCCACCCCTGTCTCTGCCTCCCATGGATCCACTGTCTCTTTCTGAGGAGTGAAGATGATTCAAACAATCACAAACGGTTATCAGTCACAATTTAAATTTGTACCTGTGTCTCCCGCAGAGGTTAAAAAAGCTCTACTATCCCTCGACTCATGCAAAGCAGCAYGTCCGGACAATATAGAACCATTTTTCCTAAAGCTAGCAGCAGAGCTCATTGCTGAACCACTCTTGTATATTTTCAATCTCAGTCTCAACACACAATACCAAAAGTCTGGAAATCAGCTTTTGTTATCCCTCTACTGAAAGGGGGGAAGCAACTGATGTCAATAACTATAGACCAATATCCAAATTATGTACTGTATCTTGGCGAAACTGTTTGAAAGACTAGTCTGTGATCAGTTAACTGACTTCTTTGAGTACAACAATATTCTATCACCATTTCAATCAGGCTTCAGGAAACAGCACAGCACAGTTACCACAGCTCTTAAGGTTCTYAATGACATCATACATGCCCAGAACTGTAAAAAATATTGTGCTGCACTATTTATTGATCCGTCCAAAGCATTCGACACAGTAGACCACAGACTCATGTCAAACATCCTGGAATGTTCTGGTCTCTCAAAACAAAGCGTCTCCTGCTTCAACAACTACCTGACTGACAGAACTTAAGTCTGTTCATGTGGCCGGATCCTCCTCTAGTTCCCAAAATATTGTTAAAAGGGGTGCCACAGGGTTCAGTCTTAGGACCAATTTTATTCTCTTTATACATAAATGATTGTGCAGTAATCTGTCAAACGCCTCCTACCATTTTTACGCAGATGATACCATCATCTGCTGTTGTTCTTCCTCCCTCAGCCAAGCTTTCAACTACCTCCAGGACACTTTCAACATCATCCAGTCCCGTCTTCAAAAGCTAAAACTGGTGTTAAATGCTGACAAAACAAAAATCATGTTACTTTCTAACAGAAAGCAGCAACCAGGGAGCCTAACAACAATTGCAACTCAACAGGGACAACAAATTGAAATCTGCTCCACTTACAAATATCTAGGCTTCTACATAGATTTTGACATTTCCTTTAAAGCTCACATTGCTAAAATGGCAACTAAGCTCAAACTGAAACTAGGTTTTTATTTCAGAAATAAGTCCTGATTTTCATGTAAAGCCAGGYAAACATTAGTAACTGCAATATTCATGCCTATTTTAGATATGGTGACATGCTGTATATGACTGCTCCATCAAAATACCAGTAATCCTTAGACTCCCTTTACCACAGCGCTCTCTGGTTCATCACAGACTCCAACTATCTCACTCATCACTGTGACCTGTACGTCAAATCAGGCTGGTCATCACTCGCAGCTTGCAGATACACTCACTGGATATCCTTCGTCTATAAGACCCTCCTGAACCTAGTCCCGTCATATCTTACCACCTTAATACAAACATCACACAGTCAATATTCCCTGCYCTCCAATGATCGAGTCCTCCTGTCAGAACTGAACTAGGGAAAAAAGCGTTCAGCTTCACTGCCCCCTCAGCCTGGAACAATGTACAGACAGATCTAAAATTGTCAACACTCATCTCTCTTAGATCCTTCTTGTCGATTCTCACTGATAACATCAAAAAGAAATTTGATCCGTGCATATGTTTTCTTGTCTCTACTTGTACACTGTAACTGTTAGTGCTGATCTCTCATCTGACTTCTTATTCGTTGTTTTTTATCTTGTTTGAATTTGTAGGCACAAGTGTTTGTTTGATAAATGTCGCACTAATCAACTGTAAAAAAATAAAAATAATTGCAACGTAATTGGTAATTACTTTGGTTTGTACGTTTTAAATGACTAAATGTCTAAATCTGTTTTTAACAATTTGTGTTTTGAATTGTTGTACTTAAACCACAATGTAAATTTAAACTCTGATACACTGTGATGTGTCGTGCGGACCTCTTGACCAGGTCACCCTTGTAAAAGAGATCCTGATCTCAGTAGGTTTACTACCTGGTTAAATAAAGGTTATTGATTGATTTGATTGATTGATTCAGTCAGTCAGTCAGTCAGTCAGTCAGTCACTGAAATTTACTTTCTTAAAAAAGCCACACAAGGAGATTTATTTAGGTGTTTAACATCATTACAAACATCCAAACCTGGGCACTTTGAGGTGTTTTAATTCATTCATTCATTCATTCATTCATTCATTCATTCATTCATTCATTCATTCAGGAATCTCAGGTCGTTAGTTTTCTAATACTGCAAATATGGCTGCATAGCTTGATTAGAAGAACTGAAGGTTAAGTAAATAAAAAAGTCATTGAAAATGTCAAAAGATCAGAAATATACCTTTATCATTAGACTGGTCTGCAATATCAACACGAATCCTACGGTTCCCCAGGTTCTGTTGACATTCAAAAGAACAAAGAAGCAAAACGGGCAATATTAATTTTCGTACGATATATGCACTTAAAAAAAAGATTATTTTTACATTGCATCAAAGCGTAAGCACTCAAAAAATTAAAAACAAACAAACTATAAACTCAAGTTTGTTTGTTTCTCTCACCTCTTCATTCAGGCTGAGGGCCCTCAGGAGGGACTCCAGGTCATCAAATTCAGCGTAGCCAAAACCTTTCAGCCTCTCTGGGTTGCTGGGTTCACGAGGGAGACGCACTGCACTGATCTGGAAACAGAGAGGGTTTTATAACATAGATTTTAAGCTCCACAGGGCCAAAATGACAGAAACTCAAAGCGTAACACGAAAATATGGAAAGTATGCATAACGACTGGGCCAACAACACAAACTGAACTGTATGACATGAACTGCCAGTAAGGAAATACCTTTTTATACGCCACTGTCTTTCAATGTGTAAACCAAGTGCAAGCAAAAACAAAGTGCTGTGAGTGTGATGTCATAAAAGACTCTAAAGGAAAAGCTCACTTGATAAGAGTATTGGCTGAAATGATATATTTTCAAAGGTTTTTTTTTTCCTGAGGTGTTGACAGTCTCTGGTGTGCCTTTTAAGTATATACAAAATTGTAGAGGGGTAAAAAGTCAATTTCACTGAATGACGTTGGTCCATGGTGTAAAKAACTGCACAAGTGAAGAACATGTAGAAACACAGAAGTGCAGCAATCAGTTATAATGTGGAAAAATTACCAAAACATTTTACGATCAGAGTTGTAGACTTCATGAGTACTACTCATGATTTCCTTGGTAGKAGTGGTTTTAGTTAGTTAGTTAAGAATTCATCCATCCATTTTCTGTACACGCTTCTTCCTTTTCAGGGTTGCGTGGGTCACTGGTGCCCATATCCAGCAGTCACAGTGCGAGGGGCGGGGTACACCCTGGACAGGTCGCAAGTCCATCACAGGACCACACATAGAGACAAACGAGACAAACAACCATTCACTCTCTCACTCACACCTAGGGACAATTTAGAGTTATCAATTAACCTAACAGTCATGTTTTTGGTCTGTGGGAGGAAGCCAGAGTACTTGGAGAGAACCCACGCATGCACGGAGAGAACATGCAAACTCTACCCAGAAAGGTCCCCGAACTGGGATTTGAACCGGTGACCTTCTTGCTGAGAGGCATCAGCTCTACCAACTGAYCCACCGTGCCGCCCTAGTTAAGAATTAATTAATTAATAATAATAATGGATCTAATGTGAAGTCATAGTTTGATGCCATTTTCTATCCTAAACGTTTGTGGAGTTACACCATGGACAACTTGTTATTGACTTCTGGMTGGACAGATAGACACAATGTAAGGAACAAAGGGTTTGACATTTCTGTTACTCAGATGTCAAGCTGAGCATAGTTCAGCTTTTAACATGAAGGTCAACTGTGAACTTGACCTTTGACCTTAAAATCAATAGGAATCATCAWTGAGCCATGAGGTGTACAGTATGGTAAAGGGTTTTAAATTTAGAGCTCAGACAAGAACTTATCCAGACGGATGGATGGTGCCATAACATTATATGTCCTGTATTACATAGATGTATAGAAAAAGGGGGAACCACATAAAAAACATTAATAGAAATGACTTCATTAGCAAAATAATACTAAAAAATTGCATAAATCAAGGTTTTATGAATTAAAAACTGTGTGTAACTAAGCACTTGAACACTACACTCCAAAGAGCAGTACACACCATGAAAAAACTTCAGTTCAGTTTAATTAAACCTTCAGGTTTTTCTCTACAGCAACAATGAAAGTGGCTGCATGCCGTGGTAGCCTCAAGCACATTTACTGGATACAAACATTACGTTGAATTACAACTGGAAAAAGAAGCTGTGTTGCTACAGACAACAATCTTGTGGTAACTGTACACCAAGTGCTTTATGCTCCGCCATGTGTCGAGTACACCTACTGCCAAGCCACGGAAGAAGTCTTTTATCGAGTCCTCGGTGACGTCGTAGGGCAGGTTGCCCAGGAAGGCCGTGTACGGCGGGCTGCGGGGCAGTCGGGCCCGGTCGATGTTGGGCTCACGGGCCGAGCGAGGAGCTGTTGGCAGGATGGAGCGATCTATGGGTGGAGCCCTGTACGAATCCTCCTCGGTGTGCCATGATGTCGAGACTGAAAGAATAAGAAGCAGAAACAACTCTGTGAAAAATTACCAGCTTCTGTAGTCTTAGCTTGAACAGTTTCATCAATAAAAGGAGAAAATATGCAACAAAAATTAAAACAATGTGTAAAACAGAGGGATAAGCCTAACTTGCTGAACCGACAAAACAGTGATGGACTCAATGGTCTGTGTGATGCCTGTGGCACTGAATTATAGACCTCTTTGCACTGCTTAGGGACAAAAACGGGCCCACTTATGAGGCCCCCACTCATATGGGTTCTTCACCCATCCCCATTCATCATACCAAACATCTTGATGGGGTGAAAAATATCCTGTTCACCTGCATTTAATACAAGAAAGAATTAAAATTCGAATAACTTTTACTGTGCTGCTCATTTCATCATGTCAACCATTTTTGGCARCATTTTGTACAACCCACTGTTGACAAATTGCAATACCGTGTCTGCATGTCAGCTTTTTTCCCTCTAAACCACAAGAGTATTTTAAAATGAACAGCAGAATAATACAACGTGCAGTGAGCTGTTGTAAGAATCATAATCACAAGCTTCTGTAACTAAAAGGTAAACAAAAAAAAAGATAATCCTAAATAGGGCTGCCACAAACGATTATTTTAACAATCGATTAATCACCAATTATTTATTTGATTAGTCGACTAATCGGATCATATGTTAATTGAATATAAAACATACAGCTTATCACGTCAGAACGCAGCTGCTATTGTATAACCATGGTTAGATTTTAGCTATATGCTAACTAAAAATAATTGCTGTGGAAGGCAAGTTCTGCTCTGCAGATATCGCACAGGTTTCTCTTTCATGTTCTTAAAAACTTCCCACACTTTTGAGCTCCGTTGCTGGGTAGCCATGATACCCAATGTCTTGTGACATCCACGGCCTACCCCAGTTACCACTACTGTACGTGTGTCAAGGACAGAAAGGCAGATGTGGCAGTGGAAGGTGTCAAAGCAGTTTGGAGAGAAAAACAAAGTAGAGAACAACAAAAGAAAGAAAAAGAAAACGATTAATCGATTATTAAATTAGTCATCGATTATTTTAATAAACGATTAGTCGTCGGTTAATCGTGGCAGCCCTAATCCTAAACATCCAACTAAATTAGAGCTTTACAACTTTTAACACAAAATGACATCCAGCCTGGCATAAAACAAGCAAAACTAATTTCAAAATGACAGTTCTGATAATAACTAACGCTACCTGTGTGGGACAAAGAAAAAGCAATCCTTGCAAAGCTTTTCTTTTTCAGACATACTGTAACACTAAAGAAAAGCTCTAGAAGCAGGGACACAACAACAACAATCATACAAAGGGAGAAACACAATCAGTGCTACCCAACAATGGGTCTTTATGATTAGAGTCAACATTAAACCTTTATGTTAGCAACTTAACATTTTACACAAGTAAACTTGTGTCATTTTACGACGCCTTTAACCTCTATAAAAACACATGAAAATGTTAGAATRGTATTGCTAAGACATTTTTCTTTCACCAGCTATGTTTGAACAACAGCAAAACCAGCTGTACTGAATTCTTACCATCTCCATCCAGGTCGTCGGTCTCATCGGCCCAGCTTGTGGACTTGGACGGGTAGCTTGGAGGGGCGTTGCTACCACCTCCGCTGCCACCGTCTTCAGCCAGAAAGTCATTGAGAGTGAGGGTCTTTCCCTTCTTATTCTTCTTCTTAGCTTTAGGGAAGATGCACAAAAAAACAGGGTTAGTTAAAGCTCTCAAGAGTGTTTATAAGTACACAGAGTGTTTCCAAAATGCTGCAGATCCCTCAGGTTTAAAGACACAAACTTTAAACTGCCTTATTTCTGAACTATTCACAGGTAGATGGTAATAAAAGTCTAAATGGTGTCACACTCATCCATCTACTAGTATACCTTTACTTGTTTAAACAGCTGCTCCTCTGAGCTAGCCCAAAATTATTAGTGAAGTAGCGGCCTGTTGTCCAGCTTCGACAGATAAGAGGGGACCACATCACGAGAGATAAAACAGAATAATATCCAACTGTCACCGCTGCTTTTCCCGCTCAAGGTGCTGAATGAAAGTTGACTTTTTCTAATGACCGAGCTTCCTATTTACAAGTTAGAAATTACCTCTGACTTTGTATCAATAAATATTACAGGAAGGACTAAAAAAATGCTTGACCAAAATCAACTGTTGTTAAAACAAACTCCTTTTACCGGAATAGAAACTATAGAACTGTTAATATTTACAGAGAACACTTATGATTTGATTGACACACCTAATGACATTTCATCGCAAACTTTCCCCTGATATGGTTTAATGACAGCTGGAGAGAACATAGCACAGCTTTTTAAAGGTGTTAATACTTGTTTTGTAACGGTTCACATGACAAATTTAGCTGCAAAACTCTAACTCTAAGGCAAGTTGGAACACGTTTATGAAGATGCAATTTGCCTCTGCAGACTAAAGTGACAATTAAAAAAAATGTCACTAAAGCTACATTCGCTCTACAGGTCTCAACGCTCAATTACATTGCAATTACAATTTCTGCATGAGAATTCACATTATAATTTCAATGCAACCTCAGTCAGASTCCAGTGTGAACAGCTCACAGCACTGGAGCGACTCACAGAAGAAATGACATCACATGTAGCACGCTATGTTAAGTAAATATGGATGCTACACGTTAGCATGTGTGGATAAATTCTGAAGCTGATGTGCAATCAGGAAAACACCATTACTATTTGTTGTGCTTGTTTTGTCTAATGCTGACATTTGATCTTGCTGCTTCCTGCGTACTCAGGCAAATATTTGCACTTCTGGAACAGGAGCGATGTGCTGAAAGAAGGCACAATCTTTAGTATCGATTCCATCATGCTAGTATCGATACGATCCAACATGCTAGGACATACCAGTGTTAGGATTATATGTTGGAGTAAATTCTCAGTCACCGAGGACATGACAAATGTAGAAACTTTAAACTGCATGGCGGTATTGATATCAATCCATATACCCCTACCTCACTGTCATAAAGTCAAATCAAATGCAACATGACCTAAATAATAATAATAATAATGATAATAATAATATAAAGGATTTGAGTCACTTTCGCCTGAAGTGAACATAGTCTAAGATACTCACGCTACATAAGGTGTAAATGTAATATCAAACCAATTTATTAAATTTATGTTTAAGGTAAAGGCATTAAATTAAAACTAATTAAACCATTAATTGCAGCCGATTGTAGGACAATTATCTATTTATAATATTGAAATCTGACACTTTCCGTAGGCTGCCCAGGGGGCTTCAAACTACTCAAACAGGTCTGATTTGTTTTGGTCTGGAGGGTGAACTATGCGATGAAGCCAAGTCAGAAAATCCCAGCTGTCAGGACATTCTTCACACACCTAATTATAAAATCTCCCAACACCGAGCATAAAAGTGTTCATTTGACACTTTTCAAAAATGCAACGTCATGGTGTAAAATAAAAATGTCCTGCTAACTGACCTTAACTGCTTATARGCCTGTAATAAACTATCAAAGCCATTTGTTTCAGGACTATGCTCCAAGTATGTTTTTCTCTAAAGAAACCTGGAAATCGAAGTAAAAACAAAAATATGAATTTTTGTTTTGTTTGTTTCTTAATGAAAAGTGCTTAAGGAGACCGTATACATTATGCCTGTGTAAATTTCTGACTGGAAGAAATTTAGGGGGAAATGGAAAAGTGGAACAAAACTTCAAGTTGTTTATGGTCTAAATATTAAATTCCCAAATTCCTTTTGTATCACCTAAATACATGAAACCTGTAGGTGTATGACCATGTACTCAAGGTTTGATTTTAATCAGAAATGAGCCTAAAAGGTAATAGCATGGTGATTAAGTCCATTTTTAAATAGTCTGTGAAAAATGTCCTGATTGTTTGAGCTTTGTTTACAAAAAATTGCCGGCTTTTATTTTTTGGGGGAAATAAACAATAAAAAGGCCATCTGAGTCTGGAAACTCCTAAGTTTTTTCAGATGTTTTCTCTAATACGTATTAATCAAAAATTTGAAAATACTATAAGCAAGTTTCCTGACTTCTGAGGAATAACCCAGCCCATGATGGCTTTTGTCTCCGTGTCTTTGCGGGCTTAGTCAGCAGAAGTGCTGACGGGGGAAGTCTCCCTGCTTAGATGGCTGCGTTTTTTAGGGCCTAGTGCACGTCGCAGCGTCAGGATCCAAGTGCGCCATCAGCGGTGCAGGACTAGCCGGCTAGGAAGCACCGCTCAAAGTTGGGAAGCTGACACAAAAATAAAGTGTTTCGGATGCGACCCGACCGGGCCCAGCTGCCCCGTTCCATCAGACACCGGAGAGGAACGCCACACACGTGGAGGAGAGACTCTCTTCAGGCGGCTCCGGACCCTTCAGCTCAACCCCTCCTCCACAAGTCGCGCTTGCGCCCCGAGCGCCACGGCGGAGCTCCGTAATGTGCTGCCAGCTCTACACGCAGTTAGCGACGTTTGTTAGCATGTCGCCAGCCGCTTCGTTTAGGATAAAATAAACAAACTCATCAAGCAATACGCTGCACTCCGATGCAACAYCGTTTACAGAAACAATTCGCGGTTKAATTTGTAGGCTGAGATGCCCAGATCAGAACAACTCGTTCATTCGCCTTCACCCAGCAGCACCTTCGCCTTTAGCGGGTAAAAAATACAGTCGATAGACGGGCTCATAGGCACGAGACAATGACCCGGTTCGGTAAACAGGTAAAATAGAAACCCCAACATTTTATAGGTGAAACTGTCCAGAGATATAYCCTCCTGGAACTCCCAATAATCGACTGAGATCGATCACCCACATAAACCTCACCTGACGCCGCCATGTTGGAGAGCGAGTTAGTTGAAGTTCCCGGATGAAGGCGTCAGAGGTTTATCATCGGGAGCGCGCTTAACGCCGTTCACGTGCCTCTGTCTCCTCCCTTGTTTTCTTCCTGACCCACATCTGCTGCACTGACTCTGTTGCTTCCTGGTGTTTCTGTTCTGTTTCGCAACAGGCTGCTGTTGTCATCTCTGACATTTATTAAAACTTTATTTTTTTAGGAGTCTACTTTTTTTTTTCGGATAACCTGAGGACACTCCCAAAAAGTAAATCAAATCTGATTCAAAAATCAACAACAAAACAAAACAATACTGTAAATCAAAAGAAGCAAAAAAATGCAAGATAAATTGTGTAARGGGAATACTGATAAAACACCATCCACGAATATTACTGCTATATAATTTGATATTCTTAGAATTCAAGAAACTCTCTGTACTGAATGACAACCAAATAAAAAAAGTTTACAATCAGGCAGATCTGCATCATTAATGCTGCAGTGGAAGGCACGGCATGTGTTCAGGAAGCTCTAAACTTATTTTATCACACTATTATCGTATAAAACTTAAATACATGTCACAAGAAATGAATACAGACATATTGAGGAATGCCTGCAGTGTTTTTTGAGCTCGTGGATTAAAGAGGAGAGAACCTAACATCACTGCAGAGGTCAGATTACGTATTTGCACTAAGTATTTCACAYTAAAAACTACTGCCATTAACATTTTTAGGGGACATTTTATTTATTTCAGCCACATATTGGTGAAAAGGTTTAGGTAACTGTAACTCATCACGGTTGTTACCTGACACAGCTGGTTCTGTATTGAAGGCCCATTCCTTCTCAAGCCTAAACCAGTATGTTTGTTTTTGATTATAATAAATTCAGTTTGGATTTTCAGAYTTACAAGGTCAGAACTGATTTTCCAACAAGAATTCATGGAGCTCCATATTAAAGTGAAGCCGAAACAGCTGCATTCAGATTTCTGGAAAGTTGTGTGTCATCTGAGATTGTTGGCATGTTTTAGAAAATCTCTGCCTTCTACTGGTCAAACAGTGAATGCACCTTTCAGGGCCAAATACTTTGTACCAGACTGTAACAAATGTTGCACTTTTTGTCAAACATACCAGTTTGATCAAGACTATAATACTAAAATGTAAATGCAAGTATTTTGGGGAGTATTAAAATATTTGAAAAATTTTAGTAATCTGCCTTAAGCCACGTTTTGTGTTCKGTGAATTCTGAAAACTTGTTTTGAATTCCAGCGCAGCTGAAGCAGAAGGACAGGCGCTCCAGCAGCAGCCTGGATTTATCTGTGAAGGTGGGTCGGTTCTCGTCTGTTTTTACAGATAAGAATGTAAAAGATGCCATGGCTGAGGGCTGCAAAGGACTAAACCTGCTGCTTCATTGTAACATTAAAGTTTGATCTCACCAGCACATCTAAAAGGTTAGCTTAATATGATTATTTTTTACTYTGCAACTTTGATTTCATAAATACAAAATTATTGATGCAAAACTCTCTTGTCAACAAAATCCTATTTTTTTCAACAACTGGATTTGTGTGTATCTGATTCATTCATTTATTTATGGGCAATGTGTGTTTATTTGTTGTGTTAGACAAATATATTTGTTAGCAAACTCTCATGAACCACAGAATGAATTTTAATGAAACTCCTAAATAGTAATTTTTGTATGATTATTTACATCTGATTGATTTTTCATGTGATCAAAAAAAATAAATAAATAAAATGAATTCACACAAACAAGACTTCATGTCAACAGTTTGTATTTATTTGTCAGGTCAGACACTGAATGTTTTTTCAACTTTCTGTTTTCATTGACATGTACTGTGCCTTTATTTCTTATTTAACCTCCAAAATGTTCATGTGATCTTGATATAAAACATTTTTTTTGGGTCATGGGGCCAGCTTTCCCACCATTGAGTCTTGTGAGCGGTTTTCTTTTAGTGCAAATTAGCTCAAAGCCTCCAGCTCATCCACTGCATCCTGAAGCCTGTAGAAAACACACATTTTTTTAAATTTTATGTTTAGCAGATATGTAAAAACAACACTGAAGTGACAGTCTGCTGAAAGTATCGTCTCTATTCGTGACCCCTCAAAGCTCCACCTCCTTTTGTTTCTCCTCTTCCCTGATTCTTACCTGAAGTCTCCTCCATCCAGCAGACCCTTATAGGTGCTGATCTCAGCCTCTAGTTTCATCTTCATGTTGAGCAGCGCCTCGTACTCCTGCGTCTGTTGCTGTATGTTTGCACGCAAGTTGCCGAGTTCTTCCTCCAGCCGCATAATGATGCCGTTGTACTTTTCCATTTCCATGTTGTAGCGATACTCTGTGTTGTGCAGCGTGTCCTCTAAAGAGGCTTTCTGATAATAAAGAGGAAACATTTGTTCACGTGTAAATCTATTTGACTACGGTAAACGATTTGTTGTAAATATAACAAAAACAATGATTCATTTATATAATATATTTACAATAACTAAAGATTATTYTTTTTTTTAATTCTTGTGAATATGTCAATAGTTGTGTGAATGCTTATCAAGCAATCTCATTGTCGAGATACATTTTTCTTCCGTATGTCTTTCGGCACATTTCTTGTTCTGTTCAACAATTTAAATATCAGAACATTCAGCTCCTTCAGGATGTTCTGGAGTTTTTATGGTTTTTTTTTTTTTTTTTTTTTTTAGATATTTAGCTTTTTCTCAATTAAAAAGAATGGAGCTTTCGTCAACATCTTTAAAATCTTTATTTTTCTTTGAAAAAAAGTCACTGATGATGAAGAAACRAAGAAACTAATATTCAGTTCTGCTCTCTACTGAAGTGGCTAAGAAAAAACATCCTTAAAATCTTTTCAAATGTTTATAAATGTTTATCGTACTTTTTATCTTTTTTTCTAGTTCTGTTTTTTTAAACTCATTTGTACTGATTTCAGCTTCTGCTCAAAGTTAAGGTAACACATTTACTTTATATTAAATGTAAATTGTACCTTAACTCAATTCATTTTAGTGAAAACAGTTGACATATATTTTAAAATAAAAACCCTATCTGTTTTTTTTAGTATTTTGCTGATTTCTGCCTTTTTTCTGCTTCCTTCTGCCGCTTTCTGCTYTCAGCTGTTTTCTGTGTTTTTAGTTTTACCTTTTGAGGTAATTTGAGCTTTTTTCAGCTAATTTCACATTTTTRGTGAGAATTTCAGCTTTTTGCTGCTTGATTCGTCAAATGTGCTATTTTTGTTTCTTTGTGCTAATTTCAGCTATTTCAGCTACTTTTAAAACCTATTTAGGCTTGTTTCAGCTTTTGTAGCTCTTCAGTAAAAACTTTCATCATTGCAATCATGCAGAATCAGCTAATTCTCTAGTTACATTTAAATTAACTGCAAATAATATGAGAAGATAAAACCATTTATTACAGTTAAAATAAGTACATAAAAATGTAATAAACAGATTTAAAACTCTTACTAAGCTCTGTTGTGATGCAAGTTCAATTTCCAGGGTTTGGATCTGTCTGGTTAAGTCGCTCTTCTCCGCCTGAGCCCCCTGGAGAGCCTCTGTGTTCTGCGAWACCTGGACCTGCACATCTGCAATCTGAGAAAAAAAGAAAAACACGTTCWGCAAACATYATGTCATCTTCARGGTGTCACTTTCTTTCAGCCCTGCTTTACCTGYTTTTCATGCCAGCGTTTGAGGTCTTCTGCGTTCTTCATAGCYATCTTCTCGTAGTTCGCTCTCACGTCCTCCATGACCTGGGACAGGTCCTGGCCTTTAGGAGCGTCCACGTCCACTTGGACGCCTGACTGAGAGATCTGATTCCTCATTTCCATGACTTCCTGTTTGAGAACAAACAGACATGTGACTAAATCTTTATTTTATTTACCGGTACTCGTATTTGAACTCCTTGCACTTTATTTGCAGTATTCCCTGAGTTCAGTTTGTCAGGTCTCTCTGACCTTTTCTCTACTGAATGAAAATATWATCTTGTCCTTGAGAGACTCTTATCATCTCACTCTGCATGTGAGGAAAGAGACGATACAATGTTTTTTCCATTGTTTCAACTACGGGAACATCTTTTTGGCTCAGGTGGGAGATAAAATTGAAAAAAAAAAAAACTTCCAAGCTAAGCAGTTGTTTGAATTTGACACTATATCCAACAGAGTGAAAAATGTACAGAGATGTCTCTGACGAGTTTGTGCACAAATGACAATATTTAAGTCAGTTTTCACCATAAGACACAAACTCAAAGAAAATGCAATAACTTCAGTACCTAAAGGTTTTTTTTTTTAAATTGGATGTAGCTTCTCATGGATCTATGACATCACACCCAGCTTATAGTTCCAAGAAACTGTGCTCAGATATTTGTTGTATGATTTTTAATTTTTGGTTAAATTAGCAAGATGTTCACTGACAGAGATTTTACAGTGCTAATAAATGCTTTATTACTGCAGCTATTWTCACTTTTTATGCCCTCAGCAGCCATATTGAATACTAAGGTCTGTGCTGGTTAAAAACCTAATAGTTTACAAGTCAAAAGCTCAACTTTACACAGCTTTCCAGTTGATTTTTCAGGTTTGGAACCTGGAAATTCCAACTATTGAGGAAAAGACATTCTGCTGATCACTGGAGAACTGAAGAAAAATTTATGTGAGTGAAAAAAAACATTTTAAAAAGCTATTTATTGTTATTATTGGTGGTATTATTCCATCTGTCAAACACACGGTGGTAGCTTTGATTTATGATAACTGAAGCATTCCAATGAAGATTCACAAAGGCTAATAAAATGTTTTGTCATTTGATTTGAAGCTGTTTATGCAGGAAATAATGAACACATGGTTTAATCAAAGATTGGATGAACAAAAAAATGTGAATGTTTTCAAACAGCCTTGTTAAAATTCTGTGATTATMGCAGTAAATGTAAAATACTGTGAAGGAACAGAGAAGTGTTTGTGAAAACAAAATCATTCAAGAGCTCAGAGCGGAAATTGTTCTAAATTAAGAAGCAGATACAGAACTGATTACTGGTTGCAGGAAGTATGAAGCTTTAGTTATTACTGCACAAAACAGACATCAGATAATTCATTTCATGTTTAATTTCATGCATTAAGGCCCAAACATAAGTTTGATTTCTAAATCAGCCATTTTTATTTTCTAAGTCAACAACAATCCATGAACACTTTGAAGAAGACATTTTTAAACATGATAAAACGGTTGAACTCACAGCCTCGTGGTTCCTCCTCAGGTAGACGAGCTCCTCCTTCACAGCTTCCATCTCGCTCTCGATGTTCATCCTGCTCATGTTGGTATCATCCAGGACTTTCTTCAGCCCAGCGATGTCAGCCTCCACAGACTGCCGGATCGCCAACTCGTTGTCATACCTGAAGGAGTGAAGGAACACAATTTTACAGACACCATCTACTCGCAAAGTGAGGAGAAAAGTAGGCTCCGTTCATWGATTTACACTGTATGGGAATAAAGTAAAAGCACGCACTTTACTTTGAAGTCATCAGCTGCAAGACGGGCGTTGTCAATCTGGAGCACAAAGCGAGCGTTGTCCACTATCTTATCAAAGATCTGGACATGAAAAAATAAAAAAAGATGAAGAAAACAGTTATTTATTCAGAAGACTTTATAAATTAGCATATATTTAATGGCCTCAAACGATGCTTTGCAGGTAAAACAGGTAAAAAAAGAAACCACTAATTTCAGTTGCACAACAAGGAAGTGTAGTTGAATCCWTGGCAACATTTGTTTAGAAAAGAGGAAGCACAAGTTGAAGAACAGGAAGATGAGGTGTCCCTGTACTAYAACTGAATCTGGTTTGGTTTAGTGTTGCTGTAGAAATGGATTTCCTTTCTGTTGCRGTCAGTCATTCCTCTCTCTGAATCAGTCGATGCGCCCAGAGCTGTAGGGATTCTTCACGAGTGACTTATGAGAATTGATGTGATCGTGTATCCCGCCACATTAAAAATCAAAAAAAGATTGCTCCCTTTATGTGTGAAGATGTGCCACCATCAATGTGTCATTGTGCCACGCTGAGGAAAGAATGTGACATTTGACTCTCTGGACTGAAGCGGATTGTTTTACAACCACTGCTCACATCTGCGCTCTCACTCCCTGCAGTGATCTTTTTTTTTTTTTGTGTGTGTGTGTGTGTGTGTGTGTGTGTGTGTGTGTGTCTTTTTTTGCCACCCATCTGTTTCCCATTGGGGCCCTCCTACGCCAGGATCAACGTCCAACCAACACTTAGAAATTCTTTCTTAAGTTAGCTGGTTGCCTGAGAGTTTTTCATTCAGCCCCTTGTGATAAAAGCCCACGTGTTAGTGATTCATCAGGAGGAAGTTCTGGCTCTTTTGAGGCCTCGAGAAGTTTTATAGAAGCAGGGCTGGAGCTTAGCAACCACACCCTATAACTTCACTTGAAATTCGATAACTWTGAAAGGAAAATGAACCATTCTGAGCACTTTTGTTGTTGGGTGTTTTGCAGGATGAACAAAACCCCTCTTCCCCTTATATCCAACAACTTCTCAGTTTAATTCATACATTTTCCCACGTTTTCTTTCAAGAAACTGGTTCTTACCTCCCTGCGCAGATCCTCTATGATGGCTTCGTACTTGCTGTAGTCTCTGGTGTCAGGTCCCCCCTTCTCCAGGGCCTCCCTGATGTTCACCTCCAGCTTCTTGTTGGCCTGCTCCAGGTTCCTTACCGTGTCCAGGTAGTTGGCCAGCCTGTCGTTCAGGTTCTGCATCGCCCCCTTCTCGTTGCCCAGGATGCCAGCACCTGTGCCGGCCGAGGCGGACGCGCCTCCAAAGCCCGCACCCGCGCTGCCGCCCCCCAGCGCGCTGCTCAGCTTGAAGCCACCTGAGGAGGATGAGATGGGGGCGCCCGAGCGCAGGGAGGATGCAGAGGCGGAGGAGATGCGGGCGCCGTGCCCCCCAGCGCCGGCGTAGATACTGGCAGCTCGGTACTGAGGAGCTGAGCGGGTCATGGAGATCCGAGCAGAAGGTGTCTGCTGCGTGCTGGGGATTCTGAAGCTCATGGTGGAGAAATGTCGTTGAATTTAAAAAAGGAAAAAAGAAAAGGAGAGCGATGTGGAGATTCAGTGCTGACTGACTTTAAAAAGTGAGGCCAGGAGGGGGGGAAGTGGTGAACTTATAGTGCCGCCTCTCTCCTCCAGTAGCAGCTGGTCTCTCAGACCCTGCCCACTGCAGCATGGCCTAGTCTTTGTTTCCTGATTCTTCTCACTGCTCTCTGATTCCCTCAGTCTCTTTCATGTTCCGTTTTTTTTTTTTTTTACTTACATTGTGTTTTCTGTCACCAAGGAGATGCAGGAAGCATGTAAACATCTAAAACAACAAACCACAGACACAGTTAGTGGCTCGGAGCAAGTGAAAAACAAGCTGCTCACCAAAAAAAGCACTCAAAAGAAGTGAAGTAAATTAAAGCTCAAAAAGTTAGAAGATTTGGGAATAATAAGCTCTACTGTGAGTGTGTAAGGGAAAAAACATCTTGTGGTTTGTCCATAAAAGGCATCATGTACCAGATGCTGCATAGTTTCTGTGTTTGTGGTCTGCAGGGTCCCAAAATAAACAGCTTTCACCATCCTGCCTATCCCCGCCTACATAAGAGCAGCTGATATTAGAAATGAGACCATGAACATGAAGGAAATTTTGTAACGGATTAACTGAATGTTAGATGCAGTTTTGTATTTTATACTTTCTGATCATTTCAGCCTGTGAGGTTAAAGCAGACAAAGAGTTGGTGTGTGTGTGTGTGTGTGTGTGTGTGTGTTATGTGCTCTTTCTTTTAGTCTAAACAAAATGAGTTACGTTCTGACGTCTGACGTAAAAGGCAACACCTCCAGGGATGTAACCAGGAAGAGATGAACATTATAAGGTCAATTCATTATTATAGTAGAAAGAAGTTGAGTGCTGCAGAGTCTCTGCTTTAGAGCAGGGCACCTGTGTTGTGTTTTGGTTCAGCCCAAGGTCTTACTGAGGCCTGCGTGCTGCGTGCTGTACTGTGAACCTGATTGGAGTCAGTAGATTGAAAATAAAGTTTTAAAGAAGAAATCCAATGGATTTTTTGAACAATGCATATTTTTCCAACAAACACATCAGATTTCAACTCCACAAGTAACAAAACGGAGAAACTTGATGACTTTAAAAGCAAACTATATATCATCCAAGCTGCAGGTATTCACAGGATCTGCAGGAGAAGCAAACACAAAAAAACAAAAACAAAAAGGTTAGGTGATACTTTGTTCAGAATACAGGGAAACAAAGGATGGCCTCATTCAGCAGCTAGTTATCTACATTCATTGGTCAGACAATTATCTGTTAGGGCGTTCCGGTGGGACCTCTCAGGAGAAAGACTTTTGATGTTTGATACATGAAAACTGAATTTGGGAGCCACCAGGCAACATGATCTTTATATTCTTGACCCAAAAACATAATTCTTTTCTACCACCAAAGGCAACATTGTTGTTGCCTCTCTCTGTACCTCATGAACCGTGGATGCATTTTAATAAAACTTTTGGAAATAATCACTGGATGAGCGTCTGCACGTGATTACTTTTTAAGGCACAAGTGTAAAATCCTGGCTGCTATCCTGCATGTTTGTCTTGTTTCCCTGTTCTGACGCACCTGACTGAGTGATTGAATTACCTCTTCATGTTCTGCAGAACATTCATTCATGCAAATCAGTTGTGTAGGAGTATAGAAACCTCAAAAACCTGCAGGATGTTGGCCCTACAAGATGCTAAGCAACCTGGCTAACAAAATGGCTATAATTCAAGTGCTAAGAGATCAGATGTATCACATTATTGTATGAAATTGTGCATAATATCAAACATTCACATTATTGAGATCATTTTGTTCCTTCTGTACATTATTAGGCATGTATCTTGTTCCGCAATTTTTTTTTATTTTTTCAACAATTTTTATATCAAAATGTTCAGCTCCTTCAGGACGTTCAGGTTATGACTTTTGGTACTTCATAAATAATTTGACATATTTAGCTTTATTGGCCAAGTTTTTCTCTTTTAAAACTAGAAACACTCGGAGAGTGCAAACCTCCGCCAAGGCCAATTTCCCCCATCCTGTAATGGAGTTAATGCGCAAAAGGAGAGACGGAAACACATCTGCCGAATAAGTTCTGACGTAGCGAACATTTAGGCAGGCAGTATGCACGGAATTTCTTCCCGGTGGAGTCCAATGTGAAAAAAAAGTCAGACTCATCACCCAACTTTATTCATCATCAAACTGGTCTGGGATTAAGCTCCTAAGTGTAAGGTTTGGTGCAGGAACATACCAGGATGCAGGCAAGCTAAAAAAAAAATAGGTTTATTTTGAAAAATCACAAAAAGACTGATGAAGCAGCTCCAAATACTCACAAAAAACTCTGGGGAGAACAGGCACGAGTGCGCTGAAGAACAGGACTGAAACACAATGATCCCACAAAGACAGGAGGACAAGACTCAGAATGTAAAACAAACAAATCAAGAGTTAACGAGGAACACCTGGGCAGGGGAATCAGGTGTGTGCAGGCAGGGCTGGGGGTCAGGGAGAGGAAAACACAGGGGAACAGAAAAACACTAAGAAAATAAAGGCAAAAAGCACAGATCATGACACTAAGTTTTCATCACTCACATTTCATCGTGTAAAACATCTGTTCTAAAAACTAACCCGCTACTAGCTTCCAAAATGCCAAAATCAATCTGTTTTGATTGGTTCTTTCGGAAATGTGGTGTGTTTGAGGAAATGGGAAAAATAGGTTTCATGGTGCAGTCACGCACTTCCTGGTCACAAAAACGTTTTCTAAATGCAAAAAGAAAAAAATTGTATAGGTCTTCTGGATGGGTTCTTCTCTAATGAAACATTTCGTCTCT